CCCCCCCCCCCCCCCCCCCCCCCGCGCGGGTGTTGCATGTATGACAAGGCCTCTGGCACTGCTGAACTGCCTACACCACATGGTTAAGAGTTTCTGACTGGAAACCCACTATTGAAATATTTGGCAAGTATCAACCAACTTGGTGTATGTACAAGGGAGTATTCATCACCTATAAGTGCTAATCATTCTCTCCAATCATCTTTCCAATGAAACAACAGGTACTCATCCATAAAATATGGTAAATGTCAATATCAGCATGTGTAGGCAATACATGATATGATGAAACACAAATTATAAGGGAACATTTGAAATGGAGAAACAGAAGTCAGAACGATTTAAATTTTAGTAATTATTCTGACATTACTTTCACTGTAAAAAATGGATATATGCATAAACAAAAACAAGAAAAAAAGAAAAAAAAAGCTCTCTGACAAACTTGTCACAACTACAAAAATAAACCAGGGGAAAGAAGAATAATCATTAGCATTGAAAATAAGCAAAAATTAGTTAAAAAGAAAAAAGATTTTCTGCTTTCTTATTGTGTGCCAATGGAAGAGATAACATGACAACTAGAAGATCCAGCAACACGAAAAGGGATCCATATCCACAAACCACATGGACTTCCATTTTTACTTTATCCACATAATTTCCTAAAGGAAAGTACAAATTCACCTGGATCTATCAAAGAAGTAGCTCCATGATTTCTTTCAATCCTCTTGTCCATTGGCTTCCCAAAAGGTGCTGATTCAGAGCCATTACCTTCTTCTACAATCATTTCACTCACAGGACATGCTTCCAAATTCTCAGATTTTTGACTGGCCTTATCACAGGTTGCAGCATCAGCAGTCTCCATCACAGGAATAGATTGATTGACTGTCTTAAATCCCGCCTCCACAGCAGAGTCACAAGGGGAAGCCTTTTGAGGTTCAGAAACAGGGGTTGGCTTCTCTGTCATTTCCAAGGTCCCCCCCAAAATTGAGATCCTTGGTTCTGCAGGGACTTTCAATTCAGTTTCTTCATTCTCATCTTTGTGCACTGATTCCACATCATTTAAAGGCAACTCGAGCTCTTCATTGTGATCCTCAACCTGTGATGCCACGTTTGTATCTTCCATCTCAGTGTTCAGAACTGAGAGGCAATTCAAAGAATGAACTGGATTAGGATCAGATGATGATTTATTACATTGAGTGCTTATTTGGGAGAGCTTAAATTCAAATTTACGCAATGGGTCCCACGAAATGTGGAAATAAAGTGGGTAATAAATTGTGGGTCCATAGAATGTGTGCAATAAATAGTGAGTTTGACTAACTTACATTATAATTTTAGATTTGCCGAACACGCATTAAATATACAAATTGAATGGTATCAAAACTAAGAAAAATTGGTGTGGGTTTGGAAGGAAGATGCACGACACGTATATAATACCTGGATGCTCCCCAACGTGAATTTTGGATGCTGAGCCAGGAACTGAGTCAATATTTTCTTTAACTCCCTCACCTGGAATGGTGAATCCTACCTCTTTCACGTTGTTATCACAACCCATATCATTCCAAGCAAAATGTGACTTCTCATCTCCTTTCTGATTCTGACCTGCAGAAAGACCCTGATCACATTTAAGAGAATCTGTCTGCATAGAGGGATTGGTTTCTTCATAGATTTGCATGGATCCAGACAGAATAGATGAGCCATTATGATCATCATCATCGTTTAGAACTTTTGTATGCATCCCAGGATCATCATCGGCATCTTTCTTATCCTCATTTATTGGATTTTCCCCAACACATCCACCAGCAACGGATGTAACTGTCAAATTATCAAGCTTGTTTGCAGGATTAACAAGGGTTTCATTATCCTGTTCTGACGGATTGCCTTGCACCTCAGATAACGTGGAAGCCTCAAAAGTGGAAGGTGAAGCCTCCAGCAGGTTGTTACTTCCATGATAAATATCTTCTTTATCAATAGAACTCCTCTGTCCATCTGGCGATGGAATAGCAGAAGCCTTCTTCAGCTCAGATTTGGAGCAGATTTCAAGGGCATCAGCCTTTCTGCCTTCTGTACTATGCTCAATACAGCCCTCTGGTTGAATGGAAACAGATGACCCCTTGTCTAATTTATTTTCACCAGAGATCTGCTGTTTAACCTCTGTGCCCACAGAGAGAGCCACAGCTGCGCGTATGCTACCATCGCCAGGGTCATCACAATCTTCCTTGCACCGTTCTAATGTCAGCTGCAAAGAGTCTCCCTTCTCCATGACACGGGATGGATTCTCAAATTTACTGGTTTCAACTACACGCTCTTCTATAGATCCAGTCTCCGATGCAACCCCAAAAGCAGCACCCAACTTTGAGTTAACAGTTTCAGCATCACTTCCACCCATCATTTCGTCATCTGTATTCAACTCTTTCTTATCTAACTTGGATCTCTTAAAAATATCTTTATCCAAACCACTCAAACTCACAGTTTTAACATCACAACCCTTGTCCAGATCATTCAACTCCCCCACACTCACAGTAACTTTCTGCAAAGAGCTCTCCATAATATCATTTTGTATCCCAGGAACAGATAAAATTTCTTGCATTTTATCCCTAGAAGCATTGGGCTCCCCTTGACCATCATTAATACACTCTGAATCACTTCGCAAATTTTTCCAAGTCTCACCTGAACTACTTTTCTCACTATCAACTTCTAAACTATCATCAGCAGTATCTTTCATCCCTTCAGCATGTAACGAACATTCCACATGAACACCTGGGTCTCCTGCACTCTGATTCAACACAGAAGCATCTCTGTGATGTTCACCTGGCGTTAATGATTGATTGGGATCCTGGGTGCCAACAATTTTGTCATCGTGCTTCAGGTTACTTTCCATTGGTTCCATCATGCCACAATATTGATCACCTGGGTCTGTTTCCTCTACTATAGCTTCACCTGGGACCATCTCCTCCTGTCCAACTGCCTTCAATAACATTTCAACAGATTCAGATGATGTTGCCTCGGACCAGACATTGTTACGCCTTGGCAAGGAACAAGATTCTGCTGCACTGGAGTGGAACTCAATTCCACTGCTTCCCCGAGAAAAATCCTCAATCCACTGATTGTCTTCCTGACTTGCAATTCCAAGAAAAACTTCGTTTTCAACCAAACTGTCGAATCTTAAATGCCCCTGGAGACTGTCATCAAAATCAAACTTAGGAAGAGCATATGGACACAAAACCGAAGATATTTTGGAGCTATCTTCACCAGCTAAATGAAGATTCTGGCCTTCATAGTCATTGTCATTATAATCCATCTGTATTTCCCTAAAAGGCAAAGATCCACCCAGAAAGGGAAATCAGAATTACACAAGGGAAATTTACTCTTATTACATATATTCCATGGCGAACCTTACCATGGCATGATCTGAGCAGGGTAAAAACTATCTGTGCAAAATTATTAAACAATAGATGTATACATCCTATTTCCAAAAGAAAGTGAACCTAGTATCTCAATAAAATTATGCAATTCAAGTGTCAAAAGGCTGCCACTAGAGGGAAATAATAATTAAGGTATCCATTTACGAGTTTCCAATTCCAACTGACACATAATATCTTCTATTCATTTCTAATAAATTTACTTAGTCTCGAGGTAAGTTTCTGCAAAATATTAGCCAGTCACCATATGGTTATGACTAGACACAACTTCCAGTTCTTTAAATAATACATTTATTGGAATGATAAATGTGTAAAGAGGAAAAGAGACCATGGAGAACATAGAAAAGATGTAGCGCACATCTATTCAGCATCTTCTTCGATATTTAAAAATCCAGTCCTAATCTAAACCCTTTCCTCCTCTCTTTCCTATTGTTAAGTTTAACTTTGTGTTTAAACACCCCCTGACAAAGAATATTAAAGAATATTTAAACATGAATATTGCTACTTGTACATTAGTTATATAAAAAATTAACATACAAATTAGGTGTCAGAGAGAGTGGGGAAATTTTTTTTTTTTTTTTTTTTTAAATTTGGTTGAAGAAATTCTAACCCAATCATATATCACCACATCATAGGTATCATTATGTAAACCTATTATGTATATGTAGCACAACCGTTTAAACATGGGCTCTGGCATTTATAGCAATGTCTAGTTGAAAAAAAAAATTATCATCCCATGATCATATCATCCTAACATGTTTTCAGTTAAAAACTTTTCAACTTTTACAAGTCACTGGCCCATGTACATATGTTCACTCAAATTAAACAGCTCCTGCAAATACACTAGTGTGCCACAAAAAAGGGATTACAAGCAAACTCACCGCAATAAATAAATAATCATTTTTCTCTTTCTAACATAACTAGATCAAAAGAACAAAAACTTAATAAAAATCATAACGAAAAATTCACATTAAATTCCAAATTCAAACACCATGAACCTGAAAAAGCAATCATAGAACAAAACAACAGAAATCCTCCAAGATAATAATCAAAGACAAGCATAGCAAAAATATTGTCATAAGGTGCCAGAAAATAACCATCATAGGAAAAACCCTAACTCAACTGAAAGTTAAAAACAATAATCGCTGAACAACTAAAACATAATCCAACTAAAGGCTAAAAACCAGCTTGCTAAAAAACTAAAGTGCATACAATTTTTTTTTCTAAAAGAAGGTGGTGACTGAGGGTGATGAACCATAAATTCTCAATACGTCTACTTTTCATGCAATCTCAACTCACCATCTTTGACACCAATATGCAAACGAGACCAAACTTCTAACTTCAAGTCGCCTCTGCTAAATAGAATTGAAGAATTCTACGAAAACACAGTGAGAAAAGGGGGAGAGAGAATCTCAAAGGAAATACAATTCTGTAGCCTTCAATTAATGGAAATCAAGTGTATGAAAGACAAAAAAGTATCTCTTAAATACTATCTAAAATCAGCCTACTAAATTACAAATATGCCATTCAGTAAGTACACAAAAGGGTCCAGACTAATAACTGAGTTTTACACTCAATATCGAAGTAACTGAAGGAAATGAAGAGTACCAGAAGAAAGTCTAGAGACGCTACCTCCCTCCATCCGGAGACGAAATCCTCACCGTTGACCTCTCAATTCCACCCGAATTGTACGTCCACTAATTCCTTCATAACCAAAAACCCTAACTCCAAACGCCGTCGTCTAACAAACTAAAAATACCAGAACAACACAGGTATACATACAGATAGTATATGTTTTCACTGTATATATAGATAGAGAGAGAAAGTGAGCGGATTTGTGTGGGTTCAGATGTTCGGCGAGGCGACTTTGCAATGTGCACATCTGAGAGGAGAAATGTGCTAAAGCGATGAATAGAAAAAGGGTTTGGGGGTATTTTCGTAACGATGGAAAATCTGAACCAAAATTGTGACGTGACGTGGCGTGTTGTAAATGGTTGAAAGGGGGAAGAAACCAAGGGGTTCTTTTCGAGGCTTCCGAAGTCATGTGAGGGTTTTCTTGGATGACCAGGTTGTGAGATTAAGCCCTCTCCATTTTTTAGGAAAAATAAATTTGTGAATAGTGTACTGATAAAAAATATGTGATTAAAAGAGAAGAAAATATTTTGAATTTACGTATAATATTATTTTATTAAAAAATACATAGTTGAAATGATGTCAAAATACGATAAAAAATGCATTTTTTATAAATAATGGAGCTCGAACAAGCTCTAATAAAGATGACGGCCTTCCTAGTCATGCCATGACTTTTTGAGGAATTTGGCTTTTTCCTTTTTTTTTTCTTGAAAATAACTCTCTCAAAAAATGAATTATGAACAAGGTCCTAAATCAAAGAAGAATTTTTCTAAGTTGGTATGTCGACATCAAATATTGCTATTTTTTTATTTTTTATTTTTTAGAAAACACCTTTTTTTAATGAAAAGTCAATTTAACATTGTCAAAAAAGTCTTATTCTTCATGCGCATAATAAACATTACCTACCAAAAATGCATGCGATTACTTTATCTTAACCTCAATTCACCCATTCTCTCTCCCCCATGCACTTGAGACATTTCATCCCCTCTCCCCTCGCCCCTCCCCCCTAGTGCCAACGAGTCACACACAAAGCAAATTATTCTCAAATTAACTTGAATTAGTCCGAGGCCTTTCTGAAAAAATGAACACAAAGATGTATGCGGCCTTGCGTCCTAGTCCATAGATTACACTCCTAGGGCCTCCCCTACCCAGGGTTGGTACTATAATTGTCGGGCCCCGAGACGAAATCCAAAAATTAGGCTCCAAAATCGACGTAAATGCAAAATTAAATGCAACATATTACTAATTTAAAACTTAACACCAAAATAATAAACAAATACCCCAATCATCTCACAATTAATGAAAAAAATTATTTTCCTTCTCCTTATTTTAATATTTAAAAAGAAAAATTGGAACAAAATAGGCCCCTATGGTTTTAGGCCTAAGGCATAGGCCTCATTTGCCTAGCCACAGGACCGACCCTGTCCCTCCCTCCCTACATATATTTTTTTATTGTAAGTTTGCTATACGTAAAGAGGTTTAGCAGAGTTACAATGCGTAAGCATTCAAGAGGTTGAAGAACAAAAGGGGAATAGCAATGGGTACAATGTAAGATATTAAATTTACCTTAATGCGAAGATCTTAGAATTCCATAATTTTCACATATGAATAAAATGATCAAGAAACATATCTTGATTCATGGAGATAATTGAAATATTTTAAATTTGCAAAACAAGATAAACCAGTAATAGAGAAAACGTTTCTCTCAACTTGACCCCTCTTTCTTGTGACTTTTCAATTGACTAAATCTATGGGTATGTATCGAACATATGTAGCGTAGAGAGAGAACGATTTTTCGCAAAAGTAACCACTCCCCATAAAGTGGTTAATTAGGCAAATAACTCCCCATAAATCTCACAAAACCGACATGCCTATCTTTTATGAGCCAATAACTACCTCAACGTTTAAAATTCAAATAAAGTTAGTTATTTTTTTCGGTCATGTGGGACATTAATTCTTACATTCTCCCACTTGGTCCATTTGACAACAACACTTTATTTGAATCGATAAGGTAACTATAATATACACATAACATCAGCTCATTTGCACCTTTAGTGAGATTACGTTAATATTGTAATTAAATAACTTGCTAACATGGGTCATGGCGGTGAACATCATTATAGCAACATTTTCCCTTCCATATACCACGATGCTAGTAAATCACTTAATCACAATCCATAATGGGAAGTAACTATAATGTCCCAATAATGTCTTTGTCAAAAACGATTCTTGTTATCAATAATTCATATCCATAATTACATAATACATGGAAAACAAGAAATATCATAAACACGGTAAATGAAATCTCTATTAATGTCTTAGAACAAAACATGAAAATTGAGATCCATAAACAAAACCCATGGATCAAAACCAAGACCCATGGGATCAACATGTTCTTTAAATGTCTTTGGTGGTAATCCTTTAGTTAAAGAATCTGCAATTATGAGCTCAGTCTTAATATATTCTATAGACACTCTTTGTTTCTGAACTTCCTCCTTAACGGCCAAATATTTGCGCTCTATGTGCTTAGCGCCATTACTATATTTGTCGTTCTTGGAGAAATGACTGCTGGGGAATTGTCACAATACACTCTTAGCGGTCTGGCAATACTGTCGACAATTTCAAGTCCTGAGATAAAATTTCACAGCCATAATGCATGTACTGTGGCCTCAAAGCATGCTATAAATTCAACTTCCATGGCAGATGCTATTATGACAGTCAGTTTGGCGCTCTTCCATGATATTGCTCCTCCAACTAATAGGAACAAGAAACCATATGTTAATTTTCGACCGTCAACACAGCTAGCAAAATCTGACCAATCACTTCTAATTGGTCAGATCTTCGATACATTAGCATGCATTGCCTTGTTCCCTTCAAATGCCTCAACACTTTCTTCGCAACTTTCCAATGCGCAATTCTAAGATTACTTTGGTATCTCCCTAGGATACCAACTGCAAAGCTGATGTTTGGTCTCGTACAAGTCTGTGCATACATCAAGCTTCCAACAACAGATGCATAAGGAATATTTTCCATACTTTTCCTTTCCAATGGATTCCTTGGACAATCCCTTTCACTTAACTTGTCTCCTTTACAAATAGGAGCAGGAGTGGTAGCACAATTAACCCTATTCAATCTTTTAAGAACTTTATCGATATATCATTTTTGAGACAATCCTAACACTCCACGTGATCTATCACGGAATATCTCAATTCCTATCACGTAGGCTGCCTCACCCATATCTTTCATTTCAAAGTTCATGGAAAGAAATTTCTTAGTTTTGTGCAGTAAAGCAAGATTACTACTAGCAAGCAATATATCATCAACATATAGAATCAAGAAAATAAATTTACTCCCACTGACCTTCAAATATATACACCGATCAACAATTTTCTCCTTAAATCCAAAGGAAATGATGGTATCACTAAACTTAATATACCATTGTTTGGAAGCTTCTTTAAGTCCATATATCGATTTTTCTAACTTGCATACCATATGCTCCTTTCCTTTAATCAATAAACCTCCAGATTAATCCATATAGACCTCTTCATCTAAATTCTCGTTTAAAAAAGCAGTTTTCACATCCATCTGATACAACTCTAAATCAAAATGAGCTACTAGAGCCATTATGATTCTGAGAAAGTCCTTCTTCGATACAGGAGAGAACGTCTCTTTGTAATCAACGCCTCATTTTTTAGTGAAATCTATTGCAACAAATATAGCTTTAAGCCGTTCGATATTGCCTTTACAGTCGTGTTTGGTCCTAAAGACCCATTTATACCCGACTGATAGAACCTTTAGGCAAATCAACAACGTCCCAGACTTCATTCTGTTCCATTGATTTCAACTCATCATTCACAACATTGATCCACTTTTCAGAATTATCACTTTCAGTAGCTTGTGAAAATGAAATCGGATCTTTACTTGTCCCTAATCATAATCAGACTCTTGCAGATATACCAAATAATCATCTAAAATAGCTAATCTCCTTTCTCTTTAAGATCTTCTTAATACTATTTCTTGTGGTTGTTCTGCAACCTGTTCACAAGTGACAATCTCATTATAGAGTAACTGATCACTAGATTGTTGTTAGGTGTTGTTATACTGTTCTATAACAGAAAAAACAACAATTTTCCTTGAAGTTACGGGTATCGAGACAAGCACTCGAACTTCTTAAATGATCACATTACGTAATGCGTCACTCCCACTAATTTTACCATTTTGAAAGAACCTGTTATTTTCGGCTTCTACAATCTTCGTACTATGGTTGGGACAGTAAAACCTATACCCTTTGGACTTCTTTGGGTAACCAATAAAGTACCACCTTACAGTTCTAGAATCTAATTTCTTTTCATGTAGACTGTAGATCCTAGCCTCTGCTGGACATCCCCAAATATGAAGGTGTCGTAAGCTTGGCTTCCTTTCTGTCCACAATTTAAAAGGGATCTTTTGAACTGCCTTACTAGGAACCCGATTAAGTAAATAAATAGTGGTCTTAAGGGCTTCCATCCACAATGAAATGGGTACCGAGAAATTACTTAACATACTCCTAACCATTTCCATAAGTGTACAATTTCGCCTTTCAGCTACACCATTCTGCTGAATCATACCAAGCACTGTGTATTGTGCACAAATGTCATGCTCTTCTAGGAATTTAGCAAAAGGACCTGGACATTGTCTCACTCCATCAGACCTTCCATAATACTCACCACCTCTGTTAGATCGAATGATTTTTACCTTTCTGTCTAATTTTCTCTCGACTTCAGCAATATATGTCTTTAAAGCATTTATTGAGACTTTTCATGCAACAAATAGACATAACTGTAACGTGAAAAATCATCAATGAAAATGATGAAATACTTTTCTTCACCAAGTGACGGTGAGTCGAAAGGTCCACAAATATCAGTATGGATAATCTCCAGAAGTTCTTCACTTCTTGTAGCTCCTTTCTTTGTATGTTTGGTTTGCTTTCCTTTAATGCAATTAACACATACATCAAAATCAGTAAAATCAAGATCTAAAAGAATCCCATATTTTACTAATATCTCCATCCTTTCTCTGAATATATGCCCCAGTCGTTTATACCACAAGATGGAAGAATTTTCATAAGCTCTACGTTTAATTCCAACATTGCGATGCAAGATTAGAAGAGTTTGTGCAAAAGTTTTATTAAGATTAAATTTATATAGCCCTTCATATAAAATACCAGAACCAACAAATGTTCCATTTCTAAATAAACGAAAACTACTATTATTAAAATTAAACGAATATCCATTGAAATT